TTTCTATAGAGAATAGGGACATTTTAAAAATTCTATGTTTCATCGATCCAAACTTTGCTAGGTTCAAAATTCTGGATTTTATTAATAATAAAACTTTAGCAAAATAAAAACAGGCATTCACTTCCAAAGACACATAGCAAATCTGGCCAACTATATATCAAAACTAATAATATGTTTCCAAATTTTTGTCAGAATAAAATATATTAGTCAACATCTATTTTCAGCCTTTCAAACTAAATCAATGCTGAAACTCCTTCCAATATAGAACATCTAAAAATGCTGACCAAATACAGAAAATATCTTTTACAAATTATGTTTTATCGGATAGAAAGTAAGAGAAGCAACCAGACACAAAAACAATGGCAACAAAAAAGAGGAAATCTACAGAGTCTGTAAGTAAGCCCTGGAGTCTACGCCTGCCCTGAGAGACCATGTGAACCCTTGAGGATTAGAAGGACCACCTGAACTCTATGGGCAGGAGACCAATCCTCTGAAGTAAAACTTAAGATACTCTCCACACAGCATAGTAAGTTGGTTAACTAGAAAAAACTACCCTACAGAGAAAGTCAGTGGGAATACATGCTTCTCTAGGCCTTTCCACTAGAAGTAATGTCATCAGAAAAGAAAAAAGGAATCTGCAAAGAGGTATTACATATGTGAGACATGTGAGGAACTGAAGAAGCCATCTTGGACAATTGGCACAGTCAAGCCTACAGAGGGCACTGGCCCCAGCCATTACCTAACTGCAAACGCAGGAGGGACCTCACACAAGGAGTATCCATCTGAATCCTGTCAATAGAAAGAAACCAAGAAATGGTAAAAACTTGTTGTTTTAAGTTGCATGTGGATGAAAAATGGGCTCTGTAATAAATCTACTCAAAAGTAACCTCAGAGAATGATCTGATCATAAATTCCTAACTGGACAGGTCATGGTGGGTAGTCACACTCCAGGCACATAATTTCTTTAGTAAAAGGCTTACCATTGCCTTAGGCAAACCTGTCCACTCTTTCCGTGCACCTAGTTTAACACACCTTTGAAATGCCTCTTTTTCAGATCCCTCAGAAGCCCTCAAGAGGGCACAGAATCTCCTTACCTATGCTGCAATTCAATACCCTCTGTTTGACTCAAAGTCAAATAAACTCATAAAAATTCCCTAGAGGTTTGGACATTGTTATGCTGACCCTGCTACTGTTTTTCAGGTGGCTTATTACACAGCAAAGTATAAGCGGAAAAACAACGTGGTTGTCTTCAACAAACAAAGTATACGGAAAGAAAAGAGCGTTGACAGAAAAAAATCTGCACTAAAAGTTTATAAAAGATTTAAGATAAAAATGTTTCAACTTCACTTGAATCCCAATTTTTAAAATTAAATTATTTTTAAAGCTTATTATATTTATGGTGCATTCATAAATTTAAATACTGATTGACTATTTGATGATATTGAGAAATTTTTGTTAACTTCTTTTAGACGGATAATAATATTGTAGTCATGGTTTTAAAAGATATCTTTAGAAATACTCTCTAAAACATAGAAAATATGAAACGCCATCTACATTTGCTTCAAAGTGTTATAGGAAAGGGAAAAAATGATTAGGATTTATATCATGTACAACTGGACCTGAGTTGATCATTTTGAGAGTTGGATGATACATATCTCAAATTATGCCATTCTTTTTTTATTCTGTATGTTTAAAACTTTCCATTAAAAAGCCTTCTGTAATAAAAGATTTTTATAGGAATAAATAGTGTTACTAAATTGGCTGGACTCTCCTATAACGCTCAGAAGCGAATAAAATCTTCCCTGGAAGACACTGAAGCACGAGCATAGGAAGATTAGCTCACAATAAAAAAATAAAAATAAAAAACTTTAAAAAATCACTAACTACACAAGGAAAAACAACACCAGGAGTAAGGGTCAGACAAAAAACAAAGTTCAGAATCAAAACTAAAAATATAACATATATACAAAATAATAAATAAGAGTATAAAAGAATAATAAAAAAGGTACTAACAAAACTGAAGAGGAAGATTTGGGAAAGAATAATTAAATTTTTAAATATAAAAATGTATAATTCTTGAAAAGAAAAAAGTAATGGACTGGTTTAGTAGTAGAACAGAAGAAAGAATTAGTAAAAAAACAAAAAAGAAAAAGAAAAAGAAAAAGATCTGAAAAACCTATCAAAAATATAGCAGAGACCAAGAGATAAGAAATGTAAAAATAAATCAATAAATAAAGTGAAAATGGAATGCAATATGGAGAAGTACAATGAAACTGTACTTGGAACTCCAGGAGGATGTGTTAGTGATTGAAAGATTCAAAGAAATATAAAATTCCATAACTGGTAAAAGACAGGAAGATTCAGGAAGCCCAATAATCCAATATATAATAAAAAGAAATCTATGCTGATACAGGGTAGAGTGAAACTCCAGAATAAAGACAAAAAAAAGATGACAAAAACACCCAAAAGGATGATTACTTACAAAAGAATGAGTTTTATACTGACAATTAGCTTTTTACGGAAGTTGGAAATAATGGAAAATGGCTTCTAAGTATTGAAAAAAATAGCTTTCAACCTCAAGTATATCCAGAGAAATAGCCTTTTAAGAATGAGGGTGAAACAAAAACATTTTTAAACAAACACAAATGGGAAAGTTTACCACCCAAAGACTCTCACAGGAGGAAATTTCCAAAGTCTGGTAAATTCTATTTAAAGAAATAATTCAAGGCCCTGGCCAGGCAGGCCCTATAGTGCAAGGCTGGGGCTCTGATCCCCGGACGGGGCACACACAGGAACCAACCAATGAGCGCCTAAAGAAGTGGGGCAACGCGACAGCATTTCTTTCTCTCTCCCCCTCAAATACTCCCCCTCAATTAAAAAAAAATTTTTTTTAAAGAAATAATTAAGTCTAAAAAAATTCCAAAAAGGAAGATCTGAAATGAAATGAAATAAATAAATAAGTAAAAGAAAACGAGCCAAGAAAATGCAAAACTTGTATGTAATTCTAAAAATACTGACCATGTCTAATTAATTGGATTTTAAAATCCAGATAGCAATAAAATCTGGGTAAAAACAGTATATGATTCAAGAAGTAATATAAAAATCAAACCATTCTTTAGTCCTTAGCATTATTAAGGAGAAAGGTAAAAATGCTATCTTTAGGACTTAGACATTTTAAAATATGCAGCATAATCACTAAAAGAAGAAATAAAATGTGTAACTTCCAAAGTAATAGGAAAAAAAAAAAGGAGAGCAAAGGAAATAAGAAAAACAAAACTGTATCAACCTAAAAGAGGGCAGAAGAGAATTTAAAAAAAGAACACAGAAAAATTTAGACAAATAGAAAGCAAAAGTAATGTGGTAAAACTAAATTAAAATCTATCAGTCATCAGCTAAATTGAATAGGTTAAAAGCAAAGAAAGTAGAAATGGATTTTTTAAAAAGTTCAGCTATTGTGTTATTTAAAAAGATATAAGATACAAAGTACATTGGGGAAAAAAGAAATGAAAAATACACATTATCAGACAAATAAAAATTAAAAGTTGCCACAGATTTTTTAGTACTAAGTAAAATAAGCTTTAAGGCAAAAAGCATTAACAGAAACAGAGTCACATAAAACGTTTAATTCACTAAAAAGATGTAAATATAAATGTGAATGTACTTAATAACATGGTCTGAAAACAAATGAAAAAATACTACCAAAACAAAGATGTAGTAGAGAAAATTAATATAGTAAAATATTGCTTCTTTGAAATCATAATAGTATAATTATCAAAACTCAGGCTAGACTCAAGGAAAGTAAAAAGCACAAATCAATAACATTAAAAATTTAAAAGAAAAAACAGATTTAGAAAAATAACAAGAGTATTATAAACAACATCAATAAATTTGAAAAATGGAGAAATAGAAAAAACTTTAAAATGTTTAAGTTGCTAAAAGAAAAAATAAAAACAGAAATCCTGAGTATTTTATAACCATTAAAACATTTGGTCGTCAGTTTTACAAGTCCTACCCAGAAACCTCCCGGTTAGTTTTACAAGCATGCCTCATCATTCAAAGAAAAGATAATTGATTGGCATGTTGCACAAAATAAAGAGGATATTATATTCTATTTGAGAGAATGGGATAGAAGAGGAATGGAAGGAGAAACATTTTCCAGCTGATTTTATAAGGACAGCATACCCTGATACCAAAATTGAACAGGGACACTATAAGAAAGGAAAACTGCTGGCCAATGTCACTCTTAAACAGAGATGCAAAAATCTCCTGCACCACCCCAAATACATGCAAACCAAATCCAACTGCATATAAAAACGAAACTATATCCTAACAGGATGCAAGATAGGTTCAACAACAGAAACACCAATTACTAAAACTCACCACATAAACCAATTAAAGAAGAAAATCCACACTTTTATCTCAATAGTTTCTTTTAATTAAATTTATTAGGGTTACACTGGTGAACAAAATTATGTAGATTTCAAATGTAAAATTCTGTAACATATTATTTGTATATTGTATTGTGTGTTTACCACCCGAAGTCAAATCTCCTTTTGTCATCATGTTTTTGACCCCCTTTACCCTTTACTGCCTTCCCCCCACCCACTTTTCCCTCTGGTAACTACCACACTGTTGTCTGTGTCTAGGAATCTCAGTAGTTTCAGAAAAAGCATCTGTCATTGTCTTCATTAAGGATAATCACCACATTAAAATCCAATGTAGGATGACAGTGGCTGAGGCCACAACGTTAACATTGCTCTCTTTGGTGGCTAAGGAAGTACAATACCAAACAACTTTTTGAGATTTAAATGAAATCGGCCTGAAGTATTATACCAAGGAGATGTGTCAACGATAAGTGATCCCAGGACTCTGCCAAGTCTTAAAGAACATTGGCTACAATATAACTCCCAAAAAAACCATCTTAGTGTTGAATTAATATTTATTTTCAAGAACTTCAAAGAAAGTAGAAGGCAATGGCAGCCATTATTATGAACATTTACCTTGAGTTTATGTTCCTTCCTGTTTACAATCACAGCTGTGATTTGCTGGTCCATGAAAATCAGAATGGTGACCAACAAAGCAGGGATAGCAGCTGCAAGGTACACCCACCAGGGGTTTGCGCCAAATGGCGGAACAAACCAGCCGCGGTTCGGGCTTGTTGGCTTGAAGAAGAGAGAAAACGAACAATATTAATACATACTACTTGGTGAAAAATCAATGGGAGTGACACATTTTTATTTTTGGAGAGCCAACACATTGAAAAATGGACACAGTTTTACTGACAGATTGGACAAAGAAGATGATCCACCAAAAGTTTGCTAAAGGGGGTTATTTTTAAGGCAATGTTTTAAATTAAGGACACTAAGAATATAGGCCAATGGAAAAACAATCTAGGATAGGACACAACATGGGAGAAAGTAATTTAAGTTTAAGGGCCAGCCATTAAAAAACCCAGATGTAATATTCAGTAAGGAGACTGGCAAGGAATTACAAAACTACCATGAACTTTGTTCATGGACTTTAGCAATTATACTAAAGTTGTTTCTAATACTGCCAAATTGTAATCATTTCACAATACAATACAGAAAAACCTACAAATATTTTTATATGTTATACTCAAGTATTTTGAACACTCTGATGTTTCTTATTTTATGTATGAAGAATAACCCAGAATAACTGGTACAATCCTCAAAAATATCACAGAAAATGAAAAATATGATTATTCTTCAAGTTCCTAACCTATCTTCTCTTAGCAGAGCATACATGTCTATTACAAAAAAAAATATATATATATATATATTTCCTATCTTTTTTTCTAACTTTAAACAATGCAAAGAAACTAAAAGAGAATCCTATTTGTGATTTATTTTTTCCACATTTACTATGAAAAAAGTCTCACTTGTCCTCTGAAGATATTTCTGTTTTTCATCTCACCTTCCTCATAACCCCATCACTGACTCTATCCACATTTTACTATCTTTCCCAGGTTGTGCATTTGTAAGGAAAGGTAGTTAGTCTTGCTAATCAGTGCATTACAAAAATCCAGTATAGGGCCTGACTCAAAGCAAACATCCAGGAAATAACGGCCTAAATGAACGGATGATTAAATGCATGAGAGCTTATTTGCTAATGAACATGTGATGGCAGAGATAATGCAAAAATATTCTGTTTGCTATAATATCCCTTCCTTGCTCAGTAGTTATTAAGCTATAATTACAGTCAATTTAGTTTGTCTTAGCAAGTATATGTATGGTCTCCATGATGGAGAAAGAAGTTAGGAGTATTCTAGAAAAATAGGTACAAAACTTATCATGGAAGATTAGGTATGGATATTTAAGAATGACTGAAATGTAAAATTTAGCCAGCAGGCCTGCACATACCAACAGGTTTATAAAATAAATAAGTTTTATATCTTGTTTCTGATCATTAAAATGCACATTATACATAAATGTGTGTGTATATGGCAGGTAGTTCTGTAGCAAAAAAAGAGCATTGATTTAGTAATATAATTGTGGGTATTTTGCTTAATTATTATAATTTAAACACCAACTTCATAAAATCAGGATGATGATAGTTACATTGCATCCCAGAATTATTATATGGAACAAAGTGGTAAGTTGTATGAAAATAGTTTGGATATTTTAAAACACGCAACGTACAAAGCAGAGTTTGTATTTTTATTATAATACATTTTTCTATAAGAAAACAATACAATGTGAATTTTGCATGTGATCCTATTCAGGCAATTAATTTTAATAAAGAAACAGACAAAACGTATATGTATGCACCTAGCAATAGAACATTACTGAAATATATAAAGAAATGAATAATCGTACAAAACTAAGGAGAGATGTGACAAAAAGAAGAGGGGAAAGGAAAGAAAGCCAAAGAGTTCCAGGAATTACCAGAGGACAGAGGCTCACCTACCTTGAACTCACTTGGCACAATTAGTTTTGGAGTGTCCACACCTACCAGGGCGTCTATTACACAAAAGATGAGAATGGACAAGATAATGGCAAAATCACTGATCAGTTTTCTTGCCTGGAAAAAAAAACAGAAAAATAAGGACTATTTAGCACTAGGTCCATATATTTGCCTGTGTTTGAACTAAACAAAGAATTCTGTATTTGCTAAAAGTTTATAGTAACAGCTTCATCAACGAATTAAAGGACGTATCACACCACAGAGAGATTATGTTTTAAATTATTTCTGTATCCCTTTCTCACCTGGCCAGTAATAATCTAATCCCGTAGAACAAGTCAGTGTGTTTGTGTGCAGGAGAGGGAACTAAAAATATAATACATCCCTGAAATATGGTATGAACACTCTACCTGGATGCAGCACAAAAGAGAGCTGGATAAGGATGCAACCTCAGAGCATATTATAAAAATCTGCAGAAAAACATAGAGGAGTTCCAGTCCACTGAGTGGACTCAAGACCTCAGAGAAATGTAAAGTGATGGCAGATGGAAATTTGATGGCTTCACTAACTTTTTCAAAGAAGATGTTTTTCACTTTTTGTTAGTCCTTAAAATCTCCTACATGTGAAATATCTGTTCTCTACCAATTCTTTCTCTTTTTTGGATGAATAAGTTCTTTAAATTGGCATACTTTACTTATTTTATTGTTGTGCAATTATAGTCTCCATTTTCTCCCCATTATTCTCCCCCCACCCCCCACCTCCCATATTCAAACCCCTCCCCACCACTGTCTTTGTCCATGGCTCCTTTATACATGTTGTTTGATGACCGCTCCCCCCCCAACCCCCGCCCGCCCCGCCGCTTCTCTGCTTCCTTATCCCAGTCTCTCCTCCCCTCTGGTCACTGTCAGCTTGTTCTTTATTTCCATGTCTCTGGTTCTAGTTTGCTTGTGTTTGTTTTGTTGATTAGGTTACACTTACAGGTGAGAGCATGTTATTTGTCTTTCACCGCCTGATTTATTTCACTTAGCATAATGCTCTCCAGCTCCATCCATGCTGTTGTGAAGGGTAAGGGTTCCTTCTTCCCTTCTGCTGTATAGTATTCTTAAGTGTGATTGCCATTAGTCAACAACTGTAAAATCCCCTAAGTACCTGGGTTGTTGGTCAGGACAAGGGTTGGGTTTTACGGGATGTAGCATTAAACCCAAACCTTTCTCATGCAGTGGGTGCAGAAGGCCATTTCTAAGTCAGCAGAAGAGCATACGATGATTTAGGTGCATTGTCATTCCTCTGTTGTGTTTAGAGGCACAGACAACAGCCTAAGAGCATTGCTAGAGCGAAGACAACTGAGTTTTCCCATAAGGTATGTACACATGGTAGTGCATAATCTAATTATTCAACAGTAACTTATCCGGTACCTAATACTTTGCTTGGCACTAAAAATATCACAATATGAACAATACAGACACAATCCATGTCCTCATGAAGCTCATAGTCAAGCCATACACAAGGAAGCCTGTTCCTAAATACTGTAAAATCAAGGTGGATGGAATAGTTATCAAGTTATCTCAGGGTGAGCAGCCAGTTTCCTGGTGATGCCAGGTGCCAAAAGATCAGTGATGGGCTGAGTGGTTGCACAGTTCTTAGGTGAGAGGGTCTTTTAAAAGAGTAGCAGGACTACTGCAGTCAGGTGTTCAACAGAAACTGAAGTGAAGAGTGAAATTACTTAATGATGTGGTATGCCGAAGGCTGCGGTGGTGCTCAATTGTTGATCGTTACCAGGGATTAGGAGCCTTGGTACTAATTAGCACTGGGATACTGATGGCCCTTTTAGCCACGAGTTCCTTTCCCTCTTGGAGAGCTGGATTCTGCTGGCTTTAGTTTCCTTGAGAGGAGCAGAAAGCCAACTATGGGACCTTTCAGGGGCAAGTTAACACCAATCACACACAATAATTTCAAGCACAAATAGATGGCATGGATCAGTTTGGGGATAAAATATGGTACAGCAATGAGAAGCAGTTTCTATAGTCAGATTACCTGGGCTGGAAGTCCAGCATCATTATTTCCTATCTGTAAATACTTTTCCTTTCTTAGCATCAATTACTCCACCTGCAAAATGTAGCCAAAATAATCTCTAACAAGTTAATTGGCTTGTTCTAAGAATTAAATCGGATAACAATGGAAGTGCTTAACCTAACACTTGCAATGTAATAACCTCTTCTAACACATACTAACTACTGTTTTTTTCCAGTTCCACAAGGCTTCTTTGGCTCAAATAAACCTTTGAAATTACTAAAAAAAATCCACTGTAAGGTGGTCTTTGAAAGGAATCTTCAAATATAAGAAACAAGAAATTAAAACCCAGTAATAACATGGAATTGCCACTCAGAACTAATTTTGGATGGAAGCATCTAGAGTCCCCGCAGAAAGCATGTTTCCTAGGGACTCAATGCTGGGGGAAAAAATCAACCAACCTTCTTTCTTTCCTCCCTCTCTTCCGCCCTCCCTCCCTCCTTCCCTCCTTCCTTCCCCCTTTCTCCCTCCCTCTCTCCCTCCCTTCCTTCCTTTCCATCAATCAACTTTATTGTTATCACAGTTTCAGGTTTAGAGAATGGAGAAGACAGTCATGAGAGTTCCATATAGCTCCAGTCACAATTTCCTCTATTTATTCATGTCATGCATTAGTGCGGAGTATTTGGAAATACCCGTTGCTTTAGTTTTGTGCAAGTAAGTGCTGACACAGGCAGTTCAGGATGATCTGGCAAAAGATGGTCATGCAGAGCAGTTTCAGGAATATATTAAAATGTTACAACAGCCTCTCTGGTCCAATAGGTTATAAATCAGTGGAATAACAGAAGTCGTTGCAAAGACAAAAAAAGAAAAATAAGTTCTCTTTATCAACCTCCTAATCTGTACCCAGCAAATCCAACTTCTTGACAACTCAGTTATACTACAAGTTGTTCAGAGCTGTTTTTAAGACAGTGCTCCTCTTTTTTTTTTAGAAGTCTTTCTCAGTCTTCCATAAACCAAACACCGGAGCCCTAAACCTACTCTCTCAGCAGTTTTTTTCCATCCTAATTAACAGCAGCTTATTTTTTCCTAGTGACTAGGCCAAAAATTTCAGATAGTCCATGGGACTCTTCTCTTTCTCTCACATCCTACACCTAAGAGGCCAGCAAATTATCTTTAAAACATATGCAGGATCCTGCTACTTCTAGCCACCTCCGTTGCTATTACCACCTTTGTCTAAGCGACCACTTTATCTCATTTGGCTTTCTATCTCATCTTCCCGCTTCTCCACTTGCACCTCATTCAGTGCACTGTCAAGGTATCACCCAACAAAATCATGTTAAAATTTAGGTCAGATAATGTGGTAGGCAGAACAATGCCCCCTAAAGATGTCCATGCCCTAATCCCTGGAGCCTATGTAAACGTATGTTCCATGTGTAGGGAGAATTAAGGTTGCAGATAGAATTAAGGCTGCTCATCAGCTGACCTTGAGACTGGAGGAATGATCTGGTGTTATTATTGTGGGCTCAATGGAATCATAAGGGTGCTTGTAAGTGACAGAGGGAGGCAGGAGGGTCAGTGTCAGAGCGCGGCAGCGTGAGAGACTTGATGGGCGATTGCTGGCTGTGAGGACGGAGAAAAGGGGCCCTGGGCCGGGACATGTGGGCTGTCTCCAGAAGTCTGAAAAGGCGAGGAAACACATGCGCCACCGGAGCTTTCTGAGAGAACTCAGCCCTGCCCACACTGTGATTTAGCCCATTTACACCCATTTCAGACCTCCAGATCTCAAGACAATAAATTTGTGTTGCCTTTAAGCCATCACGTTTGTAGTAGCTTGATATAACAGCCATAGAAAACTATTAACTAATATAAATAAATAGTGTATCTATTTTAGTATAGTTTTTAGTTTCCCAAATTTACATATCAATATATAAATCTGAAAGGGTCCCTTATAAAAGGTTTCTTGTCAAGTGTGGCTCTGCTGAACTGTAAGTATAAAAGTAGCTAAAAAGGCAAATGTTAATAAACTTCAAGATTAAATTTTTTACAATTTATGGGAGAAAAAATCTACTGAGTGTTGCTTATAATAATATTGCTTAACCTCATTAAAAAACACAGCCAGGGTGATGTGTTCTGTATAACATACTTACTTCTATTTCCCCTTCCTTCCCTTTAAATTGTACAATTCAGTTCAGTTACAGAAAAATTCACTCCTGGAGAGTGTTTATTGTAAGACATGAATGTCTAAGATAGTAGATCCAGTTTAAACTTCATAGTCAAGGAAATTGATTTTTCCCAGGCCACTTTTGCATTCAACTCTAAATCCTCTAATTAAAGAAGGCAGGTAGGGGTGTTATTTAGGCAGACTGTTCAGGTCCTACCCTATACTTAAAAGGAAGTTTGATTTGAATGAGGCAAACCTGAGAGAACCAGAAAGTGTCCTAAAACTATCAAGCACTGAGTACATGTAGTTTATTGGATACACCCTAGGGCCTGTGTATAGGAGCTTTGAGTCTGACTTTAAGGAAACAAGAATTGCTTTCTTTGAGCCCTTCTCACATTTCCAAACACATTTAGAAAAAAAAACATATGTGAATTTCCTTTCTTTTTTGTTTATTTTACCTTCCATTTTCATCAAACTTGATTTCTTTCAAACACTCCAAAACAACACCCTTTTATGTGTCACTATACATATGAAGAAATAAAATTAGAAATGTATAGTTCCTAGTTCACTACTAGCTATTTCTGGTAATGATTAGAAGTGTCAAAGTTTTCATGAGAAAACCTGTTTGCACAAGATTTCATGCCCAATCCTGTGAATTCAGAGGCCTCAGACCTAGACTGAACAAACATCCTAACTTACAGGTGACTGTCCAATCAAATGCTAAGCATCTCCAGGCTCAAGCTTCAATATTTTAGGAATATGAAATATTACAATCTAATGAAACACAAATTAAGATAACTCATCCCAGACATGAAAGAGCTAAAGTTCATTACTAAAACACCAATGTTATAAGAAATGTTAAAGAGGCTTCATTAAGACAAAGAAAAAAATATGAATAATAACATGGCAATAACTAGATGCCTATCAATAATTACTTTAAATGTAAATG